AAAATAAATTTGTGTAATAAAGAACAGCTGTGTAACAACAAAACAAGAACAAATGTCTATTCACCCCCCCCCCCAACGCCAGAACTTTTACATGTCAAGCCATGGACGGCAGCCAGCATTATCGCTTATCGCTCAGAGGGTAAAAAAAAAAAATTTGTTTAAAAAAAAACAACTGTTGAACAACAAAACAACAAAAAATTTCTATTCCCCCCCCCCCCCCCCAACGCCAGAACTTTTACATGTCAAGCCATGGACGGCAGCCAGCAGTATCGCTTATCGATCAGAGGGGGGAATCAGTCAGGATAATAGAGTTTAAAGAGATGTGTTTTGAGTGCAGTTTTGAAGGTTGGTATATTGCGGATGTGTAGTGGCAGCGAATTCCATTGTTTGGGGGCGCAGAAAGACAAAGATCGTTAACCATATGTTTTAGTGCGGGTCTTAGGAACGGACAGAAGACGCGTGTCTGCGGAGGAGCGTAGCTGTCGAAGGGGTGAATAGACAGAAAGAAGTTCAGGTAGATAGGAAGGGCAGTTATCAGAGAAAAAGTTGTGAAAGTGAACAGACAGCGTGGCTGTATAGGGAGCCAATGAAGTGAGTGGAGTAGTGGCGTGACGTGATCAGGTCTTTTTTTTTGCCTCTCGAACTAGCCTAGCGACTGAGTTTTGAACTTTCTGTAGTTTTTCTATGAAAAGTTTTGGTGAATCTGACAGAAGAGAGTTTCAATAGTCAAGACGAGAGAGAAAAAAGAGCAAATACTAGGGTTTTTATTGCGCTGTCTGTGAGGTAGTGGGGGATGGAGCTGATCTGACGGATAGCGGTGTATTCAGAGCGACAAATGTGAGAGATCTGGTTATCGAGAGACATGTTGTTAAATAGAATATGACCAAGATTCCTAGCGGAGGATGTAGACTGTATGTCCAGAATGACCTACTTGAAATGAGGTGAGGAGAGTTGAAGTAGAGGATGATTCGTGATTGTGAATGAGGAGTTCTTCCGTTGTGTCACTACACAGTCCTGCCTGATTCACTATTTTAAGTTATCTACGTTCGTGAGCAGTTATTTTTCAAGCGTGAAGCACACAAAGCATAAGACTAGAGCCAAACCATCTGATAAGCACCTTGAGAACTTACTGATAGTTGCAACTACTGCCATCGAACCAAATATCGAAGCATAAGTGTCTCAACGCCAACAACAAAAAGACAGCTTCTATATCTATTTAGAACTTAGGGTATCAATTTTGCATCTTTATCCCTTTCGACTATCAAGAGTGCGTCTTTATATCTTTATACTATCAAGATTGCATTTTTCTAACTTTAGACTATTAAGACTGATTTTTTTTATACTTAGACTTTATCAAGATTGCACCCATCTTTAGACTTTCAAGATTGTATATTATTTCTATCTTTAAACTATCGAGATCACACCTGTCTATCTTTAGACTATCAAGATTGAACCTTTCTAGCTTTAGATTTTTTAAAGATTGAACCTTTCTATCTTTAGACTTTAAGTATCGCGATACGAGAATGTTCAATGTTATGGGCCATATCTTGAAAGTCTGTCAACATTGATGTGGCCCGAGGAGGACATTATCATCTATTGGAGTCAATTAGTTGGAAGCGTCTCAATGATGATAAACCTGAGGGCGTCATCCCACATCGCACCTAATCCAAATATTATTTATTAGCACGGGAAGAGAGAGGTGGTAATGCAATCATATTGGATGAAGTCTTGGTGCACACCGCAAGTTTATCTTATCTTGTGTTCGTCCGTTCTAGCACCTGTCGTTCTGCGCTGTCTATTCAGTTATGTGCTGTAAAAATATCACGCAATGTTTCACCTAGAGCAGATGAAATTAAACTGTACCTGCTTATCAGCAGTTTAAATACCTTTTCATTTATAAACTTATATTTATACTGTATAGGCCTGTATATTGGCCTGAATTTAAAAACAAAAATGAATTCCATGATCCAGTAAATAAACTCCTTTTATCCAAAAATTCACAGAATTTTGGGCTTTTAGCTTAGCAGTGCAATGAGTTATATAAATTTTGTTCAACTGGTACGTCCAGTCTTATAATAAAATTGTCTTAGTTGCCATAACACTGCAGCTGCAATTGTTGTGTACATTAACAAAGCATCTCCAGCCCCGTAAATGTAATTAAAGTTGAAAAGTGATAACGGTGAAGGTACTCCATAATCTTGTCTTGTTTTGGACAGGTTTCAGTAGGAGGCTCAGGTCTTAAGCCAGGAAGAGCATTGCCCTGATGATTGTGTTGCCCAGTGTCCTAGTCCTAATGAGATACTAAATCACCACCCGTGTCCCTCTTTTCTTTTATAGGAGTGTCATCGGCCTTGAGGTGTCCATTGCAACCTGGCTTTGACCGCAATGCGTCATTTATCGGCCTTGAGGTGTCCATTGCAACCTGGCTTTGACCGCCATGCGTCATTTATCGGCCTTGAGGTGTCCATTGCAACCTGGCTTTGACCGCAATGCGTCATTTATCGGCCTTGAGGTGTCCATTGCAACCTGGCTTTGACCGCAATGCGTCATTTATCGGCCTTGAGGTGTCCATTGCAACCTGACTTTGACCGCCATGCGTCATTTATCGGCCTTGAGGTGTCCATTGCAACCTGGCTTTGACAGCAATGCGTCATTTATCGGCCTTGAGGTGTCCATTGCAACCTGGCTTTGACCGCAATGCGTCATTTACTCTTCTTTGAGAAGAAGAGATCTCTCTTATCAGGGCTGAAATTGTTTCTTGTTGACCTTTCTGTATCAGGTGTTATTTACGTGTGACGTAGCTGGCCTCACGCCAACCCTCCCCCTTTTTGTATCCGGCTTGGGATCGGCCATGGCGGAGTTAAGGATTACAAAAAAATAAATAAAAAACATAGCTGAGTATTAGATGAAGCTGAAACGAATATGCTGAGAACAAAATTTAAATGATTTGTTTTATTTTACACTTTAATTTTAAGTGTAGTTAAAAAAGTTAAAAGCAAGCTATCGGGAATTTTATTTTGAGGACCTAATAATTACGACAGCCTTATGTAATGACATAAGGCTTAACACAAATAATAATTCTCTTGGTATGAACGTTTGGGTGTAACGCCGTGTTCAATAGGCGCGCAAAATAAAATTCCCATAAGTTAGCAATGATGAGGATTCTTATAAAGTGCATTGCTTGAATTTATAGTTTTGTCAAGTAACTTGAGTAAAAGATGGGAAGTTCACGCATGGTCGACGCCTTTGTTAGGCGAGTTATATCTAGTCCTTAAGTAAATATAGATAGGTTAATCTGGCCCGGGAAGGTATAGTAGAAAAGTAAATATGACCATGGGAACATACAATATAAAGGTAAAGCCTTGGGTTATAGAGTATGTTCTAACAAACGTAAAACGCTTATTCGACTCAGTTCATATTTGTTGTTCAATGTGAAGGAAGATATTGGGTGATTTTGGGGGGGGGGGAAGGGAAAGGGGAATTGGTCAAGGGAGAATAAGGCACCGGTGAATTGGTCTATTGGAGAATTGGGTGAATTGGTCTGTTGTAGAATTAGAGAACGGCGAATTGGTCTAGAGTAGAAAGCTCTTGGGTAGAATTAGAGAACGGTGAATTGGTCTTGAGTAGATATAGAGAATGTTAATTGGTCTAGAGTAGATATAGAGAACGGTGAATTGGTCTATGGTAGATATAGAGAACTGTGAATTTGTCTAGGGTAGATATAGAGAACGGTGAATAGGTCTATGGTAGATATAGAGAACGGTGAATAGGTCTAGTTTAGATAGAGAGAACTGTAATTTGGTCTTGGTTAGATATAGAGAACGGTGAATAGGTCTAGGGTAGATACAGAGAACGGTGAATTGTTCTAGGGTAGAAATAGAAAACGGTGAATTGGTCCACGGTAGAATTAGGGAAAGGTGAATTAGTCTATGGTAGAAGTAAAAAAGGATGATATGGTCTAGGGTAGAATTAGAGAACGGTGAATTGGTTTATGTGCAAATTAGGGAAAGGTGAATTGGTCTAGGGTTAGCTTAAAGGGGAGAAAAGTAGTGCTTGTAAATGAGATGGTTTTGGGGGGGGGGGCATAAAAGACTTTGTGTGATTGTTTGCATCAAGGGTGCAATCTATGTAAGTATTTTTGATGACTTGTATTCTATGTAAGTATTTATGATGACTTGTATTCTATGTAAGTATTTATGATGATTTGTAAACTATGTAAGTATTTATGATGACTTGTATTCTATGTAAGTATTTATGATGACTTGTAAACTATGTAAGTATTTATGATGACTTAATCTGATGGTTTTTCAAACCCATGTTGTCGAATCCGATCCCATCATTCCGACCTACAGAAGGTTGATTCAGTGAACGTTTATAGTCTTTGTTTATGTGTGTGTTTGTAAGTCATGTTTTTAGGTCTTTTACGTAAGTCATGTGTGTAAGTCGTGTATGTAAGTCGTGTGTTGTAAAAAGTCATCAACTTATATCATATTTTGTTTGAATCTATATATGCCCTTCCATGCTTCATCACATAACACACTCATTGCTCAGATACAAATCAGCACCCTTCCGTAACCCACAGTTTGATCTGTCACCAGTAACACAATGTTTGAGCTGTCACCAGTAACCCACAGCTTAAGCTGTCACTAGTAACACATTCCAGTTGTTTGATCTGTCACCAGTACCCCACAGTTTGAGCTGTCACCAATAAAGCACACGTTGAGTTGTCACTAGTAACACACATTTTGAGCTGCCACCAGTAACACACATTTTGAGCAGTCACCAGTGACACACATTTTGAGCTGTCACCAGTAAAACACAAATTGAGTTGTCACCAGTAACACACATTTTGAGCTGTCACCAGTAACCCACAGTTTGAGCTGTCACCAGTAAAACACAAATTGAGTTGTCACCAGTAACACACATTTTGAGCTGTCACCAGTAACCCACATTTTGAGCAGTCACCAGTGACACACATTTTGAGCTGTCACCAGTAAAACACAAATTGAGTTGTCACCAGTAACACACATTTTGAGCTGTCACCAGTAACCCACAGTTTGAGCTGTCACCAGTAAAACACAAATTGAGTTGTCACCAGTAACACACATTTTGAGCTGTCACCAGTAACCCACAGTTTGAGTTGTTAAAACATGTGGACCGTCAGACGTCTCTACAGGACAGTAACAAAAACCGCCTCCTCCCTGGTTGCCCTGGTCACCTTACTGGGGACCATCATCCTGGTCAACATACTCATGGCTTTTATGCTGCATTCAAAATCATCCGACCAGATACTCAAACTCTCAGATCTCGTAAGTACGCATCTCCGTGCGAAAGAACTGACGCCCAATATTTCAACTGTAAAGTTGAGCATTGCTAGGGACTATCAAATCTATTCAGCGGACGGGTCAACACATGCCGAAGTCAGAGTGAATAGGACGCGTGTGTTTCTAAAGGGCGATAGTCCATCTCGGATGTCCGAGAGAGTCGGTATCACCGTTGAAGAATTTCGAGCCGGCGCCAAGACGGGTAACCCACTCATTGACAACTACGGACACAGCAACAGGAGTGAGAGAGGGGAGATGGGGAGACGCGTCATTCTGACCCCAGAGGAGGAAGAGCGAGCCAAGGACGCCATGGAGAAATTTAATGTCAACACACTGGCGAGTGACGCGGTACCGCTCAACAGAATGGTCCCCGACTCCAGGATTCGTGGGTAGGTTGAGAAACTTGCTTTAACGCGCAAATTAATTAAATTCTTTCGTTGTGAGTTATTAGGTTTTTAAAAAAAAATATTACCCCTTTTATTGTTTGTTCTATGACAATTGTCAAATGTTGTTTCATTAAAATATTATGGCACACTTGAAACAAAAAATAATTTGTGAGGTTTAGAATATTTTCTATTTTAAATGTGATACAAAATGTGGCTAGTGAGGAGGAAAAATATGGCAACAATCACGATTATCTGAATACATTTCGAACAATCTTTGGTGACGATGACAAAATATCTTTGAAGCAATAAAGATTAAAAAGCAGATTTTAAGACAGTGTATTAAATGTTGCGTGCTTCCATTGATCGCACTCCAACTCTCTCTCTCTTTCCCTCTCTGCCATTCTTCCATTGACTCATTTAGTCTTAAATGAAGGGAAGGAGAGAGAGAGAGAGAGAGAGAGAAACAGAGAATGATTGATGGATGGATTGAGGGGGAGAGAGAGAGAGAGAGGGAGAGCGAGAGAGAGAAACATAGAATGATGGATGGATGGATTGAGAGGGAGAGAGAGAGAGGGAGAGAGAGAGAGAGAGAGAGAGAGAGAAACAGACAATGAGGGATAGAGGGAGTGAGAGGGAGAGAGAGAGAGAGAGAGAGAGAGAGAGAGAGAGACAGAGAGAGAGGGGAGAGAGAGATGGGGGAGAGAGAGAGAGAGAGAGAGAGAGAGAGAGAGAAAAAGAGAGAGATAGATGGAGGGAGTGAGAGGGAGAGAGAGAGAGGGAGAGAGAGAGAGAGAGAGAGAGAGAGAAACAGACAAAGATGGATAGATGGAGTGAGAGGGAGAGAGAGAGAGAGAGAGAGAGAGGGAGAGAGAGACAAAGAGAGAGGGGAGAGAGAGACTGGGTGATATGCTAGCCCGCCCTCCCCCATTCATTTTAAATTTAAAGTTATGTTTTGTGTTATGTTTTATAAATTACATAAACATTTAGTTTAACTGTTGAATTTACCAACTCGACCATCCTATCTCATATGCCTTTCCACGACCAAATCGCTGTCCTCCAGCTGTCATCTCTCTATCTCTGTTGACCCTGATTTCAGCTGTGACAAACTCCGTTACATCACCGACGATCTCCCTACAGCCTCCATCATCATACCTTTCTACGACGAGTGGCCGTCTCTGCTCCTGCGGAGCGTGTACAGCATCATCAACAGGACACCGCGAAGACTCGTCCATGAAATCCTACTGGTAGATGATGCCAGCACACTAGGTCAGATTGATGTGGATTTGCATTACGTATTTAAACAAGCCCCAAAACCATTATGAAATGTAATTTCGAGCAAATGTATTTAATTTTTGGGGGCATGAGGGATGCTGAAAATTTGAAATAGTGTGTTGTCATCGGCAACGAGTCTATGTGCCAAGCTTCAGCTCGATAAGTTGACGGAAAGTGGGTCGATTAGCACTGCAAAATTTTCCCAGCAACGAAAAAATCAAAAAAGTTAATGTAAAGGATTTTTAAAAAAAATTGATTTCATAGTTGATATTTTAACTTTTTTAATAATAGAAAGTTGACAAATATTGTGTCGCTAAACATGTTATTTATTCCGTTAATATGAAATAGTCATAGCTTTAACGTATTAATTCGAAGTTTAAAAGTATGATACACATTTTTAAAAAAATTTTTGCTTCTAAGATCATTTTTACAATGCGTTGTACAGTAAATATATCCAAAAAATCTAAGTTATTCATTGAGTTGTAGCAAAGCTTACTCACATCTCGCGGATGGAACAAATATTTTGTTACATGATAAACCCAATCCTAAGTTTCCAGAACAGCTGCACGAGCCACTGGAGAACTACGTCACACACAACTTCCCCCAGGGACTTGTTCGTCTGGTGCGTAACTCAGAACGAGTGGGACTCACCAAGTCACGCATGCGTGGCAGCGCTGAGGCCAAAGGCGATGTGCTGGTCTTCTTCGACAGTCATATGGAAGTCAACATTGAGTGGTAAATACATACTTCATAAATACTTCATAATTTAGTGTGGGCTTTAAAAAATAACATTTTATTGCAGAGTTTAGACACAAATATTTAGAAAGGTGAAATAGCTCAAATCACCAGCATGTCATCTTTGTTAAAATTCCAGGCTAGAGCCCTTGTTGACGGAAATTGCTAAAAACAGTTCGGTGGTCGCCATGGCAACCCTGGACTACGTGCAGCCCAATACTCTCTATTACAAATACAATGACAACTACCTCACACGATACGGCTGGAACTGGAGGCTGATATTCTTTGAAACCTTCTTTAGAGATGATCAAGTAGGAGGCGATCCCAGGAAACCAAGAGAGTGAGTTGGTGGTTGTGTGTGTGATGAGTTGGGCGTTGTGTGTGTGGTGAGTTGGTGGTTGTGTGAGTGGTGAGTTGGTGGTTGTGTGTGTGGTGACTTGGTGGTTGTGTGTGTGGTGACTTGGTGGTTGTGTGTGTGGTGAGTTGGTGGTTGTGTGTGTGGTGACTTGGTGGTTGTGTGTGTGGTGACTTGGTGGTTGTGTGTGTGTTGAGTTGGTGGTTGTGTGTGTGGTGAGTTGGTGGTTGTGTGTGTGGTGACTTGGTGGTTGTGTGTGTGGTGAGTTGGTGGTTGTGTGTGTAGTGACTTGGTGGTTGTGTGTGTGTTGAGTTGGTGGTTGTGTGTGTGGCGAGTTGGTGGTTGTGTGTGTAGTGACTTGGTGGTTGTGTGTGTGTTGACTTGGTGGTTGTGTGTGTGGTGAGTTGGTGGTTGTGTGTGAAGTGACTTGGTGGTTGTGTGTGTGATAACTTGGTGGTTGTGTGTGGGGTGAGTTGGTGGTTGTGTGTGTGTTGAGTTGGTGGTTGTGTGTGTGGTGAGTTGGGCGTTGTGTGTGTGTTGAGTTGGTGGTTGTGTGTGTGGTGAGTTGGTGGTTGTGTGTGTTGTGAGTTGGTGGTTGTGTGTGTGGTGAGTTGCAGGTTGTGTGTATGGTGAGTTGGTGGTTTGGTGGTTGTGTGTGTGGTGAGTTGGTGGTTGTGTGTGTGGTGAGTTGGTGGTTGTGTGTGTGGTGAGTTGGTGGTTGTGTGTGTGGTGAGTTGGTGGTTGTGTGTGTTGTGAGTTGGTGGTTGTGTGTGTGGTGAGTTGCAGGTTGTGTGTATGGTGAGTTGGTGGTTGTGTGTGTAGTGACTTGGTGGTTGTGTGTGTGGTGACTTGGTGGTTGTGTGTGGTGAGTTGCAGGTTGTGTGTATGGTGAGTTGGTGGTTGTGTGTGTAGTGACTTGGTGGTTGTGTGTGTGGTGACTTGGTGGTTGTGTGTGGTGAGTTGGTGGTTGTGAGTGTGGTAAGTTGGTGATTGTGTGTGTGGTGAGTTGGTGGTTCTGTATGTGGTGAGTTGGTGGTTGTGTATGTAGTGAGTTGGTGGTTGTGTGTGGTGAGTAGGGGGTTGTATGTGTGGTTAAGTTGGTGGTTGTGTGTGTGTGGTGAGTTGGTGGTTGTATGTGGGAATATTTGGTTCTTGTATGTGTATTCAGCTGGTTGCTTGTATGTTTTCAGTGGTGGATTATTTGGGAGGGGGGGGGATAATTCCTTCGAAGCAATTCTAGCCTAGAGTTTTTTATTTCGTTGAAAGAAGTTATAGGAGCAAGAATGATCAATCCATTGATTGTGGGCCCTCAAAATATAGAAGAAGAAGATAACTATTATTGAGATACTTTGCAGTTTCCGTGTTCTTCAATTGCAAGTGTAGATGTTTATGAATATAAAATGTCAACTACTAATAATAATAGGCCATCACTGAAATCAACGAATGAAATATCTCCAGCGATATTACACTAGAGTTTCAAATAAGACGAACAGCTCCCAACTGGTATTATAAAGCATTTTTGATAAATTAGTTTGAAAAACGTATGTGACATTTTTGTAAAATCTTCGGACAAAAATTACAACTTCTTCCGCCATAGAAAACACCAAAATGCAAGCCAGAGTCGGGATGATTATCCACAAGGAATGGCATCAGTTACCCGAGCAGGAGCTCTTATGGATGCTCTGGGAATCCTTATTCGCCAACCCTCACCTCAGAGAGGAGTAGCCGTGAAGCAGCACCCCCGAGACATTTGTTAACCCAGTGATAAATCACCCCGCTACCCCAGAAACACCAACGGAGAAACTCCATAATAATCCATCGTGTTTATCGCTAGTTATATAACCTTAAATGTTTGTCACTTTAAATAACTTGAACGATATTTGTATCTGTTCATATGTTTTTCTTTCGCTTTTTTTTAGAACCAATAAATCTATATTTCTCAAGACCTCGTTTCCTGTAATCTAATTAAATTTAAATCTTACAGCCACACAAGCATCCGACAGAAACCGTAACAAGGGCATGATAACAAAATTGACAAGGACATGACAACAACCTTTACAAAGATCTGACAATAATCTGTCCTCTGCGATGGCAATCCACATTCACCGTCAGTGTTGAGCTACTCGTTCTTCGCTGCACGTTTCAAACCCTGGAATAATCCACCAAAACTAATCGTAAAGCGGGCAAACTGTCATCCTTGTTCAAAATTAGTCTTCAGTTCATTAAGACCATTTCCCCCCTGTGATATTGAGTCTAGTACAAATTAATCTTTACATTTCGTTTCTATAGAGGTGCTTCCATGGTCGGAGCAGCTTTCGCCATCGACAGGAAGTACTTTTCACACCTAGGCGGATATGACGACAAGATGACGGTGTGGGGAGGAGAGAACTTAGAGATGTCATGGAGAGTATGTTGGTACAACAATTCTAGAGTATCATGAGCAAATAGGAGAAATTTGAGAGACTGTCCAGAGAATGTGAGAGACTATAAGGGAAAGTAAGAGTATGCGAAGGTATAGGGGAGGGGGGTGAAAATAACAATGAATGGGGCCAAAATACAACAAAGAAACAGAACATTCCGTTTCATGTTGAACTTGAAAGGAGAAATCTTTATTAATGTGTGTAGGTCAAAACTATTTTTTATAGCCCCTAATCTGTTTCGACTTTATCTTTGGTGTTGAATTGAGGGCGCTTATCTCAAAACTCTTTAAGAACTTTGTGTCAATTTGAACTGTTGAAAAATTTGATCTTAAAACACGGTAACTATAAACTTGGTATTGTAATTGATGTACACATTACACACTCTCATTTTCTCTCTCTCTCTCTCTCTCTCTCTCTCTCTCTCTCTCTCATACACACACAGACACAAATACGTAACACTACAGTCTATCAGACGGCCTGAGTCCATAAAACGCAACTATACTGGATAATAATTACGATCTACTTGCAAAAAAAACGTCTTGTAACAATTATTGTTGCAAGACGTTTTTTTGCAAGTAGATCGTAAGATTATGCACACAGACACACACACACACATACACACATACATACACACACACACACACACACACACACACACACACACATACACACACACATGCAAAATTAATGCTAATCAAGAGTTCCCAATATTTTCCTTTATTATCAAGGCAATACTGAATAAGAACGTTTAGAAAATAAATGTAAATATTACTTCCTTACATTCAACCATTCCAACCACATTTTACCAACCATTCCAACCACATTTTACCAACCATTCCAACCACATTTTACCAACCATTCCAACCACATTTTACCAACCATTCCAACCACATTTTACCAACCATTCCAAAAACATTTTACCAACCATTCCAACCACATTGTGCCAACCACTACAACCACATTTTACCAACCATTCCAACCACATTTTACCAACCATTCCAACCACATTTTACCATCCATTCCAACCACATTTTACCAACCATTCCAACCACATTGTGCCAACCACTACAACCACATTTTACCAACCATTCCAACCACATTGTGCCAACCACTACAACCACATTTTACCAACCATTCCAACCACATTTTACCAACCACTACAACCACATTTTACCAACCATTCCAACCACATTTTACCAACCATTCCAACCACATTTTACCAACCATTCCAACCACATTTTACCAACAATTCCAACCACATTTTACCAACCATTCCAACCACATTTTACCAACCGTTCCAAACACATTTTACCAACCATTCCAAACACATTTTACCTACCATTCCAACCACATTTTACCAACCATTCCAACCAGATTTTACCAACCATTCCAACCACATTTTACCAACCATTCCAACCACATTTTACCAACCATTCCAACCACATTGTGCCAACCACTACAACAACATTTTACCAACCATTCCAACCACATTTTACCAACCATTCCAACCACATTTTACCAACCATTCCAACCACATTTTACCAACCATTCCAACCACATTTTACCAACCATTCAAACCACATTTTACCAACCATTCCAACCACATTTTACCAACCATTCCAACCACATTTTACCAACCATTCCAACCACATTTTACCAACCATTCCAACCACATTTTACCAACAATTCCAACCACATTTTACCAACCAACCAGACCACATTTTACCAACCATTCCAACCACATTTTACCAACCATTCCAACCACATTTTACCAACCATTCCAACCACATTTACCAACCATTCCAACCACATTTTACCAACCATTCCAACAACATTTTACCAACCATTCCAACCACATTTTACCAACCATTCCAACCACATTGTGCCAACCACTACAACCACATTTTACCAACCATTCCAACCACATTTTACCAACCATTCCAACCACATTGTGCCAACCACTACAACCACATTTTACCAACCATTCCAACCACATTTTACCAACCATTCCAACCACATTTTACCAACCATTCCAACCACATTTTACCAACCATTCCAACCACATTTTACCAACCATTCCAACCACATTTTACCAACCATTCCAACCACATTTTACCAACCATTCCAACCACATTTTACCAACCATTCCAACCACATTTTACCAACCATTCCAACCACATTTTACCAACCATTCCAACCACATTTTACCAACCATTCCAACCACATTTTACCAACCATTCCAACCACATTTTACCAACCATTCCAACCACATTTTACCAACCATTCCAACCACATTTTACCAACCATTCCAACCACATTGTGCCAACCACTACAACCACATTTTACCAACCATTCCAACCACATTTTACCAACCATTCCAACCACATTTTACCAACCATTCCAACCGCATTTTACCAACCACTACAACCGAATCTTCCAAACCATTTCAACCACATTTAGCCAACTACTCAACCCCATTTTGCCAACCTTTGCAACCATATTTAGCCAACCATTCGTGATGATTTAGTAATTTGTAAAGAATAAAATGAGTAAAACAGAGTAGAGTTAAACCTTAAAAAATAAACGCATCAAAACAGCGAACGTGTCGGCAGAACAACAGAAAAAACGGGATACAAATAAAAATAAGAAATAGCTCTTAGCTGGTAAGTAGTATCTGTGGGCAGCAACAGAAGTGTGACAGAAGGATAGTGAGTGAGAGTTTAAATATGCAGCGGTGAAAAAAAGGGGGAAGAAAAAAAATCCCTGTGATAGGTCAGAACAAGGAGGGGCGGAGATAGGGTCAAGCTGTGAACCCTATTGCTGCCCACGGATACTACTTACCAGCTAAGTGCTATTACTTATTTTTATTTGTATACCGTTTTTTCTGTTGTTTTGTTCGCTGACGAAGGCTTTCTGCCGACACGTTCGCTGTTTTGTTGCGTTAATTTTTTTCAGGTTTAACCCTGCTCTGTTTTACTCATTTTATTTTGTACTAACCTGATTGCAGTCTCTCCCCTTATTACCCCTAATTTGTAGAGGTTTGCCTTAGATCTCCTCTTGATTTCCTCAAAAAAAAAAAAAAAAAAAAAAAAAAACAACTCTGTGTCTAGACACTGGATGTTGGAGATCTGAGCGAGAGGCTGGAGTTAAAATCAAGACTCAAATGTAAAGATTTTTCTTGGTACTTGGAGAACGTTTGGCCGGAGCTTGGTGTGTTAGATGAAAAAGCCAGTCATTGGGGACAGGTAGGTTAGAATGTCCTTCAGTTGGGTGTAGCCATTCAATATGTTGATTAAGATATCGTCTCGTGGATTGAATGGAGTATAATAAAACAAGATTTTCCCCAAAAAGTTCTCTTTGGAAAATAATACAGCATTAATTAGAAGGCTTTACAAAAAATCTTATTAATAACATATAGAAATATAGGGCTAGCGGCTAGACAATATTAGTGTTATCTATAACAAAAAAAAAAAAGACAACATGTTTTGTTTATTAAGGTCATGAATTCAGCGAGTGAGCTTTGTCTGAACAACAACAAGCACTTTTTCCAGAAAAAAGAGGCATTGCTTCTTCAGCTATGCAAGGATAAACTTGATTATCAGGTGGGATTATGTCTTAGGATATCTGGTTGGATACTGTCTCACGATTATCTGGTGGGATTGTCTCATTATTATCTGGTTGGATTATGTTTCAAGATTATATCGAGATCTCCATCCCATGCACAGAAGGCTATGCACTGGCATATCTTAAAGATTTGATTTATAAACATGTATCCAAAACCTGCGGTCTTCAACTTCAACACAGTCTTTACTGACAATTCCTAATGTGGATGAACACAGAAAAAAAAAGTCATACGGCGTGCGCTCTTCTGAAGTGATTGCGCCTAAATTCTGGAACAGTTTGCCTTAATCTTTAAGGCGATTAGAAAATGATAAAAAATCATTTAAGGAATATTTAAAGACTTTTTTGTTTAAATTAAATAGATTTAAGAACACCAGAGCGCAGTGAGCATTCTAAAGTAGCATGAATAGCAGCGCTAAATAAATACCCAATCAATCAATCAATTATGTCTCAAGATTATCTGATGGGATTATTTTTTAAGATTTTCTAGTGGGGTTATGTCCCAAGATTATCAAGTGGGATTACGTGTCAAGATTATGTTATAGGATTATGTCTCAAGATTATTTGATGAGATCACGTCTCAAGATAATCTTGTGGGATTATTTCTCATGTTCATTTTGGCTTACCTTAGTTTTAAAAAAATCAATTTTGCTTTCATCTATTTCTAATCGTAGTTCTAATTCACTTTATTTTTAGAATTAACAGATGTTAAAACGAGGATACAGTTTTAGATATTTTTGTAATAAGCTCCTGTGTTTGCCTCTTTCAACTTATTTTTAATAGGGATTTTCCCTACAAACTGATGGCCTATTCAAAACATCTTTACAATGTGTCGTCTGCCGTGGTGCTGCGGAGAAAGCAGAAGTGGCACTAGAAGACTGTATTATTGGACCACGTGATAAGTGGACGTACACATCGGTAGGTAACCGATACATTGGTGAACAATGTCACCGATACATTAGTCAATATTGTCCCCGATACACCTATCAATATTGTCACCAAGACGTTGGTCACTATTGTCACCAATACATTAGTAAATATTGCCAACGAAATATTGATCACTATTGTCACCGACACATGGCCAATATTGTCACCGATACATTGGTCATTATTGTGACCGATACATTAGTCAATATTGTCACCGATACATTGGTCATTATTGTGACCGATACATTAGTCAATATTGTCACCGATACATTGGTCATTATTGTTACCGATACATTAGTCAATATTGTCACCGATACATTGGTAAATATTGCCACAGATACATCGGTCAATTTTGTCACCGATACATTGGTGAATTTTGTCACCATTACATTGGTCAATACTGCGATAGATACATTAGTCAATATTGTCACCAATAGATTT